CCCAGACCCACGCTGCCACCGATTGTCTGGGGCACATCGTTTCCTATCGGGATTTGGGGGGATTAGTCCACAGGATGGGCGCCAGAGTCTGGCAATACCCATCGGGGTTACCCCCAGCTGCATTGCACTCGGTGCTACAAAACCTGCAGAGTTTGAAAAGGAGTTTCCAGCCTTGCCAAATCCTTCATTTTAAAGTTTGTGAGAAAGGCACAGGAATTGAAATAACGGTGTCAGAGGACACGGTGCACTCGCATATTTAGACACCCCAAACTCTTTAGGTGTCCCAATGCCTATTTTTGGCTTTAAGTCAGCCAGGGAAAAAAAAAGAAAAAAGCAGCTTTTCAGGAACCACATGGTGGAGCTGGTATTGCCAGACGGGACACAGCCGCAACAGGAGCTTTAGGATATTATTAGGAAGTGGAGACAAGAGGAGGCAGGGGGTGTGAACGCCTGCTCCCGTTCCTGGTCCACTGCCCCGTCGCTCCTCCTGCCAACAAGGCAACAGTGCTAAGAAACGAAACCCGCACACCAGCCCTCCCCTCTCTGGCAGTGTGACGTTATTCAGACAAAGATGCAACCCCCCCCCAGCAGTGTGTATTATCAGGAGGGACAGCACATTTTGGGGGGCCCAGCACCGAACAGGTAAGCTTCCATTTACCATCTTGGTCTCAAACGACCAAGTGGACACTGAGCCAGTTTAGAAGAGCTACAGTTTAGAGCCCTGTCCTAAACTTGCCTTCAAGCTTATTGCATTCATATTACAAAGCTGTGAAGAGGAATGAATGTGCTCTCTAACCACACACGGCTCCATGCCCCAGCAGCCTGAGAGACCCCAGCCCTTTGGTACGTGCTCCCACCCCTCACTAGGGCCAGCTGCGGGGGATCTGAACATCCCTACATCAAAAGCGTGGTCCCAAACTGCATCTAGACCTCCACCCAGCTTCACTTTTAATTACTGTCAAGATAACAGCCCAGTCTCAGCCATCTTCTGTGACTGGAAAGCTTTAAAGGCCCATAAATAGAAAAAACTGTTCAAGAACTGACACTATGATCTACCATATTCTTTGCATTCCGTAGGGAAAAGGTCTTCAAGATGAGAGGAGGAAAAGTGACAATCGCTCACCGTGCCACAGGACAAGAAGGGTGCAATCGCAAGGGACAAGCCTTGCTGAAGCCATCTGGAGTGCAAGAGCTCCTTCCCCTGCTTACCTGCCCTGGGCAGGAGGAGCACCAAGGAGCCCACCCAGGGACCATTCAGCAGAAGATCCCAGCCCAAGCGACCTCCCACGCCAGCGTAGGAGGAATCCCCAACTGGGGATGGGGCTTTTGTGGGGTGTCCTGGACCTGGGGGCACATCTCCACCCCTGTGCTTTTCAGCTTCAGGGAATTGGGGACTGCGGGCATTACACATCTAGGATGCCCGGGAGGAAGTGCCATTAATACTCTTCTTCGGAGGAAAAAGCTCCTACTTGATGAAGTAGCAGGAGCATTTAGAATATAATCCAGACTGGATTCCCGGTTTCAGTTTAATCAAAAAGGCAAACTATCCTGGCAGCCTCTGGAGCCCTGCAGGAGAGGACAAAAGATCTGAACAGGCATCTGAATTAAACAATTAACAGCGAAGCTGGTACGGGAATAGAGGAACAGTGGGACCCTGCTAGGTCAGCGTGCCCAGTCCCCCTCTATTAAAATCTACAACTTCAGAGCACTTCTTTCAAGTGTGTGATTCAACTGGGAACGCGAGCCTGAGCGATTGTCCAAGTTAGCACAGCAAGACAGTGGGAAAGCAGGAATCAAACAGAAATAATCCTATTATGCTTCAAATGCCGTTTTACATCGTCCACGTTCATTAAGCTTTTTAAATCTGAAATACCGTTTTCCAAAGCGGCAGATCACCAAGCGCATTGTGAAGGGCCTTCGCTTACCTGCGTTACTTTGGCGTCTCCCAACTTGCTGGGGAACAAGCTCAGGCTTTGTATTTACTCCATTGTAGTTAGGATGCAGCCCCAAAAATAGATCCGTATCATATTAACAGTTCTTAGCTCATCCACAACACACGGGGAGGGAAAGGAGACTCCAGACAAAGTGGCACAAGCTTTGTACAAAAACCACGTTTTTTTTTTTTTATTTCACAAAATTGGGTGGCTGTGTTGCAGGAATAAAACCGGTCCTATACATAGGATCAGATGAAAAAGTCAGCACATGTATTATTTATACAGAAACACAACAGTGTCAAGAATTCAGGTACTCTGTAGGATCATCACTAGTACAGTAAAAAATAGTCTCCATCTGGATCCTTTAGATCTGAAGTTGATCACGCTAAAAACAACCTGAGGTTATTCTAAACTGGACTACGGTCTGAACCAGAAAATCCCATGCTCACCCCAAAGACCCTGGAGGGAAAGGTAACGTTGGGGATGAATTTCCTTTGTGGGAGGTGGAAGGCAGGCAGGCCCTGACCGTTCTCTGCTAGGCACTGTGGATTCTCAGAGCTTGACGGTGGAAAGCATCGTTCCTACGCACTGGAAGTAACAAGGCTGCAGACGACTGTCTGAGCACGCAGCGGATGCGCAGGCAGCCCAGAAATGGTTACTCCACACTCAGGGACTCACAGGACCTGGGAAGTTCAACCGTTAACATCGATGAGTCAATCACCTGAGTGCTCTTCAAAGCAAATCCTTTTTTTTTTTTTTTTAAACGGTATAAGTGGTGCTGCAGGTTTTATTTGGGAGATCTCTCTCCGGTCAAGCCTTAGACCACCACCTTGCACGTGATCGCTGAAAGCCACCCTTTAAGTAAGTGAGCAGTCTTCAGACCTTTGGCAAGGAAACCTGTCAAACCCTCTTACACCAGGAAGAGGGCAGAGAACCCGAACCGCAGCCAGCAAAGGATTTTTTTGCAGTCACTAACGATGAGCAAACAAGCAGTTTTGGCAGTCTGAAGGTCTGCATCAGCAGTACTGCGCTGGTGGTCTCACTCAACGAGTGCTCCTAGATTTGCCTGCTGAAGCTGTTCCCTTACCCGCAAGCCCACAGACCACGGAAGGTCAGCGAGTGGAAGGTGATGTGTGAGTTGTCCCGAAGACGCGTACCGCGGTCGCTGACTCTGCCCACCTCGGTTGTCCGCAGGAGGTAGTTCTGGCATTCGCACCCCAACCATCCCAACCCAATCCCGTATGCTAGCACTTCTTCGCTATCTACTTTTTTTTTGTTTTGTTAATTTTAAAAAGTAAAAAGTATATGCTCCAAAAAGAGGGACTAAAAATCATGGGTTTATTCCTCAGTTGGCTACTGTACCAAACTACTCAGAGGGAAGGTTCAACTACCACCTTCAAAGGCAAAAGAAAGGTAAAAATTGGAGCAAGAAAACTCCTACCATTGAGTGGTTTTATTCCAATTGATTCACTCCTGGCTTCATTCGCACTGGATCAATATTTTCTTTAATAAGTTAGCGAGGCAGCCCCAGGACTCGGCTACTGTCCTTAATGACC